TCTCGACGATAACCCGATTCCGGTGCATTCTAATATTATCGGTTCATTAAAGACGAGTGACATTATAAAATGATTTCAGATCCATTTATTATTATTATTATTATTATTATTTAACTCGATTACTTGTTTAAAAGTGAAATATTTAACATGTCGATGTCACTCCTCTTCGATTTAAAGAAAACTCTAGTTGGAATAATTCATTCACTTCGATTGCAGGACAAATTAACATAAGAATCAGGCAGTGCTGTGTGAAGACAAGAGACCATGTAAGGGTAACAAAATTGAACGGAAATAACGACGTTACGGAATGAGAAATGAAAAATAAGGGTGCACTCGTAGTACCTTGAGGTGATGCTTAAACTTGAAGGCTTTCTCGCAATGGGGACACTTAAACTTACGAAGCACGGCACTCTCATCGTGGCTGATCATGTGCCTCTGGAGTCGGTAGACGTTTGCAAAAGTCTTGCTGCACACCTTGCACGACTGAAAAAGTTCGCTCATTCCATTTTCCGTCCAACTGCTTTTTCAAACTTATTCTATTAATCGATTAATAAAAATGGGAAGTTCTGTGAGAGGTGTTATTGTTCTACGCAAGGGGAATCGAGCGCGGAAAGCTCGAAATCTATTTTATTCTAAGCAGACGCGGCCACGTTCGTAGCCGTGAACTACATAAAGCAACAAAGAGAAGCTAGAATTTCAAAGTAAACTCAGAATAGGCTCGCTGCTACTTCATCGAGAACAAACTATTTTATAATAGCCTTGCGCAAACGTATCCTTCCACAATGAGTAATAGGAATTCTCTTATAAAAATATCAACTGCAATTATTTGTAAAATAGTTCCTAAAATAAGAAATTTGGATTTTTAGATGTTTCAAAGCATTCTAGGTTTAATATTACACATTTTGTCTAATCGTAAGAGCAAAACTCTGCTTCTAACAAATACGATTTGCATAAACGTATCAACCATAAACGTATGCAACCATAAACGTATCATGCCAAGTATCAACAATTTTATTATAAGAATATAAAATATCATTTTTCATAAAATAATTTCTCTCATAAGAAGACAAAGATATCGAGATGCGACGGAGCGTTTTAAGGAAGGCTCGGTAAATTCGGTCGAAGGGGAGAAAGGGAAGCGCTGCGCCTAACAAGAAAAAGCAAACACAGGAAGATAATGCGTAAAGGGTGGTAGGGAGAGACAGGAGAATCCGCAGGCCAGTAGCGCATGATCGATAATACGCAAGGAACAATGGAGTCCTCTCGTCCTTGACGTTAGTTTCACTCACCACTTGGGGGAATTGAGCGTTGAGATCGTTCTTGTCGATGGCGTAGGAGGCCTTGTGCGTGTCCTCGAGATGAAGGTGGAGCACGTGGACGTCCCGGCAGAGGATGCCGCACTGGGGGCACCTCTCGCCACCCTGTTTCGTCGATCCGCCCTCGCCGCCGCCGCCACCTCCACCTCCTGCTCCTGTTCCTGCACCACCGCCATCTCCGCCACCACCGCCAGATTCGCTACCTGTACTGCTGCCACCTCCAACGGCATTTCCTGTGGTTGGCGCCCCGGCCGTGCAACCTCCGCCCACGTCCGCGTTCACGACACCTGCTGCCTCGTCCTCGCTGCAACCTGAACACCAGACGCACGTGTATAACGTTCGCCCCTCTCTCTCTACCTCGATCAAACGCTCTCCGCTCTTTCCTCTTTCTATCGCTTCCTCTCCTAACGCGATAATCGTTTAATTCACATTTTCGTTCTATTTATTCTAATTTGTTTACTACAAAGGTTCACATTCTATTATATATTTTATTATACTTTTTATGTAGGGTTTGTAAAATACAAGTGCAAATAATGTTACTCCTTTCTGTCTACTCCCATCAACTTTATACTTTCTTATAGGTCCTATCGCTTGCCGTTCTAACGCGATAATCATTTGATTTCGGTTTTAATTGCATTTACTCTAATTTATTAACTACACAAATTATTTATTTATTTCTATAAGGGAAAATTCATTGACATGCAGTAACAAAACGAAGTGAAAATCAACCATGAAAAATAATAATAAATGTGTGATATAATATTATTGTCGGTCTGGAGAAAATATTCGCCTTAGGTGAGCTAAAATTGATATGAATGACTATCCGATTTATTGCACTTTAATAACCAAATAGAATACACGTTGGTGTACAACGTATTCTGCGGTTTGCAATTTCGTAACGAGATGTGTATTTCTCGATTTGATATTTGCATGTAACATGTACCTAATATCATTAATAGAACATACATTATTTACACTTCGCCTTTATCTGCTTCCCATCGATTGTTCTCTCAACGCAATAATCCCACATTTGGCTTTGGTCGCATTAACTATAATTTGCCCGAAGGGTCGTGAATTATATTATATCCTGCGGTTTCCAATTTCATAGCAGGACCTGTATTCCTCGATTTGGTATTTGCATGTAATGCGTTTGGTATTTGCATCGCTGACGTATTTTTCTATAATTCTAAAATTAATAACAACCAATTTACATATTATAAACTCTTTAAACCTTGGAACCTTCAACATTTAAAATTATAGAAAAATAAGCCATGAGTAGAACTTGTGACGTGCATTGAATGTACTTAATAGAATTATTCAAATTTATATTTGCTTCCTATCGATTGTTCTGTCACCTCAATAATCATTCCACGTTTAGTTTTGGTTGCATTTACTCCAATTCGTTCAGTACAAGGGTCGTAGAATTATATTACATTCTGCGATCTGCAATTTCGTAACGAGATGTGTATTTCTCGATTTCCATTTCCTATCGAATAATCGTACAGTCTCGCTACTCTAACTCGCATGCTAAATGGATCGTGAATTATATCACGTTCTCGGTTTTAGAATGTAGCCTGATCTGGATTTTTATTTCCCGATGTAGCAACTCGTAAAATCAATCAAATCTGAATTATTTACACTTATTTACATTTACATTGCAGTTATTAATATCTGCGTTATATTAAAACGGTCCAATATTTCCTTCATGGTCCATTGCGGAGTAGAGGAGAGTACGTAAAGCGATTTACGAACCAGCGGTAAAATTCAGAAGACATCGAACGCTGTTTGCAGTGCTTTAAAAGATACGATTCGCGTAAAACGTGGAACGTTCGCATTCTCCTGAACGAGACCAATTGAAGGCGGAACTGCTACACGCTCTGCGTCATTCGGTCGACGTTCATAAATATACAATCGTGCACTCTTTCAACCGGTGAACCGATGCACGTACGCTGTTGCAAAATTCATTTTTTTTTTTATTCAGTGCAGCAGGAAACAATTTTATTCATCGATACAGACACGTGCAAATTCTTGAAAATTGTCAGATCACTGCAATTAAACATATTTTAATATATACACGTATTAAAAATATGTGTAAATATTATAAATTCGATACATGCAGATATAATAAAATGTGTTGTATTTTAACACAAGTTTCAATACGTCGATGAGCGGTGATTCTCGTCACGGTGCATGTGGGAACGTGGCGAACGCGTTACGGTTGAATGAAAAGTCACGTATGATGTACCGCGGAGTTCGGTACGTGTTCCGTGCACCGCGAACTTTGCTCGCGGTGGCGAGCCGATAAAACGTCAAAATGGGTCAGAGCCGTGACCTTTCCTGCCCGTACCGTTTGAGGATCTCGGTTGTGTCGTACACGACAGTTGAAAAGCGGCGAACGGGGGTCCCGTGATCCCCGCCGTAGACAATAAAAACGCGATCACGTTGCGCGGATCGCCGTCGTTACGAAACGATCCGCGGTTCGGCTAGATCGCTATTGCCGTGGCTTTCCGCCAGTAACCCTTATCAAACAGGAAACACGCTTATCCGCGAGGTTAAAGCAAAGTTCCAACAATAACAATTGACGTCTTTTTAGAGAATTAAGTAGTTAGTATAGTTCGTATTCATCTATTAATTATGTTTACGCCACGCGTTTATCATATCTCTTTAACCTTTCGTAGCTGAAATTTCAGTTCACGGAAAAATTGTGCTCTCTCATTTCGATATAAAACGTAGGAGCGCGTTCGGTATAAATAGATTCGTTGATAAATCATAACGAAACCATTCGTTCGACTATAAATTCTTTACTGTATCTCCAAAGATTGTAATCTGTGTATTTATGATTGTAATATATATTTTTGGCAGAGCTAAATAAATCCTTCAGGGTTTCGGGGTTTTTGATTAAACAAATAACGTATAATAAAAAACGTATAAAATAATGTCAGACAATTTAGTGTTAAAAAAGTCTTTACTGATTTTTTTTTTTACCGGTTTAAGCGCGCAGATGTAGCCGAGTTCATTAAATCTAGTAGTCAGGCGTGGATGAGAGTAGGGTAGATCGATTCAGGATGGACGGGAAAACGTTATCTCGTGCGAGTAACGCCGGACCAATCGAGATCGAGACTATGTGTGCAGATGCGTATCTTTCAGCGGCCGTCCTCGATGGAACGGAGGATACGCCACCGATGACGTCAGTGGAATGCAGAAACTGGCCTAGCAAATTGTAAGTAATATCACGCAATCTCAGATTCATGCTGCCCGGGACTTACAGGCAATCAACTCGTCCCCCGTGATCCGTGGAAAGTTTGCTTCATCGATTAAATAGAGTTTGAAAATCGACAACGCCGAGGTAAATGTGTTAATTCCTAATCACGACCCAATTTCAGTTCTCTAGCTCAGTTTTCTATTATAGCTCTCTAATATAGTAAATAGAATAAATACAATGAAAAGTGTCTTTTTTCAATATTAATATAAATTATTTTATAATGTAATGTTATAAGACTGTATGGGTTTGTGAAAAATTATTCAAGTATGGAATAGTCACAGAGTTGGTGGTTTCGATTTGAACAAGAGCACAGAGCCTGTGTCTAGCAAGCATAATATTCTTCAATTCTAATTTCGACGAGTTTCAAGAGATAAGATGACAAAGTCCATTAGACTGTGCCTGGTCTAATTTTGATTCTGCTTTGCTGATTTAGCGGATGGCTTGATGTGACAGTTTGATGTCGAGACACATATACAAGGAGGAGATTGAATAATTAGATCATTTATGATTTTCGAATTTCTGTATGTAAATACACGCGACAATCACGTCGCGTACCAAAATCACGTAAAACGGGATCAGAAACTGGAATTCATGGGTTTTTTGAAAAATTATAGTGACTTACAATTTGCATGTACTCTTATGGTAATCAGCAGTAACCCAAAGAAAACTTTCTGGTATTTGGNAAAACGTTCCTGCATTGATTCTCTTTTTTGCCATTTGGCTGCTCGTGAGCGAAGAATTGTAAATAGAGCGCGCAGGTAAACGCTTTAACGACGTCGTTACACCATTCGTGGCGAGCATATCAAAGGCTTTCCCCCTAATGCGGCTTTTATCGCGGCGCGGGCACGCGCGTCCGCGCGCGAATCCGAGCCGATTCGAACTGCGACGCGACGACCCGCGGCGTATTTTTATTTTTATTCCCTCTTCTTTCGTTTGAAAAGTGGGTATGCCTGCTCTCCGTTGAAAAGTTTCCTGTTGGCAGACGGAGAACGGACGGCTTATTTTTCTTCTTTCCTCGCACGAATCGCCTGGCTCTTCGCGGCCTTCTTACGGCGAAATTATTTTCGTTGTCGACAAAACACGATAACATAATGTAACCGAGATCGGTGTTGACATCGCGTAATGTACAAAAATTTTCTATTGCCGTTCCGTGTAGCCGCGTTTATTATCTTTGTTGTTTTATCTCATCGAGACTGAAAGGATTCGATCCAGCCTCGTTTAAATCTGCGGACCGGACAACAAAGATCATCGTATATAATGGCGTCGTCGTGCGAATTGCCTGGAAAGGTGGGCAGCTTTCCTCCGCGAGATCAATTGTCACGAGAGGTTCTAGGAAATCCGACGGATCTCGCTCCGCTTTCAGGGAAACTGAGGCTTCGAGACACGTTGATTGGACGAAACGTGCAAGCCTTTCAGATTAGAATCTACTTGAAGAATCTACTTGTTTCTATCATAATGGAACCCAATTGGCAATAATTTAGGAATTGCTACGCACGTACCATCGACGAAGATTCATGATGAAACGAGACTTTTTTCTGATTAAAATGCTAGACACTCATTTGGTTTATTATTGTATCATTTATCTTATCGGTTAAAGCATTAAGTATGTCGCAAACCATTGAAATACACGTTTGGGAGTAATCATAGAAGAAACTTCGTTCAACTGAACTGCCAAAAGTTATTTACGATAAAAAGGTTTATGCCAGAGCTTCAGGGCTGCTCTCGTAGTCTTCAATAAAATTGTTTACTGCCAATATATATTGTCAATCTTCTCGATTTGATCTATTTATGTTTTTTACGAGCTACCTTGAGTCGATCTGGCAAAAGGATTGTTAAATGATTTATCTACAATAAAAACGATCTTGATCGAAGCTTGAAATTTTATTTTCAAGGCTTTCTGCATTCAAGATCTCGATTAAATTGTCTACTTTTGTTAATAATATACAGGGTGTTTGCAAAATCGTGGTACAATCAACAAGGGGATGATTCCTCACATAAAATCTAGTCGAAAACAAGGAATATAGTTTTTGATACTGAACGTTATTTTCA